CACCCACGGCCCTACAATCTCCTTAGCTATCTCCTTCAGAACTCTGTGGTGGAGTCCATCTGATTTGGGTGATTTATCCACCTTTGGACCTTTCAGCTTCCTAGCATCTTCTCCTTAGTGATGGCCACTATACTCACCTCGGTTTCCTGACTTTCTTGAAGTTCTGGTATGCTGCTGGTGTCTTCCACTGTGAAAATTGATGCAAAGTACCAATTCAGTTCCTCCGCCATTTCTTCGTTCCCCATTACTACTTCTCTAGCCTAATTTTCCAGCAGTCCAATTTCTACTTTTGCCTCTTCCTTAGCTTTAGGATATCTAATAAAACTCTTGCAATCTTCTTATCTATTGCTAGCTAGTTTACACTCTTTAGTTTCTCTCTACCTGCACCCTACCCCTCAAAACATCTTTTTGCTCTTTCCAGTTATCCTCTCCATTTTTTTTTTAAAAAAGTTTCCCACTAATTTTCACCACATTATATGCTTTTACGCTGTCCCTGACTTCCCAGGGGAGCCATGGTTGCCTCATCCTCCCTTTAGTATGCTTCTTCTTCCTTGGGATGAATTTCTGCTGTACGTCCCGAATCACTACAGAATCCCCTACCATTTCTGCCCCATCATCTTCTCTGTAGGCTCCCTTTCAAAAACTCCAGCCAGCTCCTCCTTCATATCTTCATAGTTACCTTTACTGAACTGTAATACTACTACATCCGATTCCTGCTTCTCCATCTCAAACTGCAGGGTGAATTATATCATATTATAGTCATTGTTCCCCAGTGGGGTCCTTCACCTTCAGCTCCCTAATTAAGTTGGCCTCATTACACATCACTAAAGTATATTATTGCTTGCTCCCAATGGGTTCTACCATAAGGCGCTCCAAAAACAAAACGTCAGACATTCCACAAATTCCTTTTCTTCAGATCCATGACCAACCCAATTTTCCTAGTCCACCACATAATGAAGTCCCCCATTATTATTGTAATTGAGCCTTCCTCACATGCCTTCTCTAGCTCCTGATTTGTTTTCTTCCCCACATCCTGACGACTGCTAAGAGTCCTGTAGATAACGCCCATCAGGGTCTTTTGTCCTCTGCAGTTCCTCAATTCTACACACACACAGATTCTACTCCTTCCAACTCAATATTACTTCTTGCTATCAAATTAATTTCATTCCTTACTAACAAGGCAACCCTGCCTCCTCTGCCATCTGCCTGTCCTTTCAATAGGATAGGATTTGGCAGATGTGGATGAACACAGCAGGCCAAGCAGCATCATAGGAGCAGAGAGGCTGACGTTTCGGGCCTAGACCCTTCATCAGAAAAGGGGGCC